CCTGTCTTGTGATGGTTAGGTGTAATCTGAGGCCAAACTGATATCTGCCCCCTCTTTTTGGGCTCCTCAGAGCCACGGGAAATCCCTTTAGGTGCCAGGTTTGGCAGCTGGGGTTGCAGTACAGCACCTGGGACAGACAGGTCTGGCTTCAGAACTTCATTTGTAAAATGACTTCTCAGAGGTACTTTACAGAGTTCAGGAGGAAAGTGCAGCTTTCCAGAAACCAGCACTTGCTTAGGGATGATCTTTGGAGTGAGATTTCAACTTTACGTGTTTGAGGACACTGCGGGTCAGAGCAGCTAATCAATGTTTAATTAGATCCAAGTGACAAATGTTCCAGTTTCAGTGGCATCTCATTTAGTTGCAGCAGCAGAATTTTGACCCCTAATTTGGAGGAAATTGGGAGAGTTTTTGTATTCAAGGTTACTTGGCTAATACACCAGAGTCAGACTGTGAGGCATATTGTTACGTGTTTGCTTGTGCTTTAATTATTGCTGATTATTACCCTGTACACCATATACCAGTACCACTCTCCAGTTTATCCCTGCTGTTTTGGAGAAGCAGCACCAGTTAGTGCCTTTACTGGCAACTGCTGCCTCAAAAAGGAAATCTTTGGGACACACAGACAGACTTGATCTTTTCCATGTGTTCAGCAGGAAACTGTGCCACAGAGAAAATGCAAGGAGACAAAGCTGTGGAGCCAGAGATTGGACTCTGGTGGAGGTGGAAATGGGAAAATGGATTTTCAAATGGTTATCAGGCTGCTCCATGCCCTTAGAGGAGTTAGCAGGGGGTGATGGCACACTCACTGTGCTACTTCTGGAAGGGAGGAATGAAGAGAACATTATTTTACCCTGCAAACCCATTGTCAGGTTAATCAGTGAGGTGCTATTCCCAGTATGACAGGATGGAGAGAGAGCTCCTCCACCAAGGAGAAACAGCAGGACCCTGACTTGCCCCAGCTGAGTTGGGTAAGTCACCCTGTGAAAGGTGTCAGGCTGTGCCTTACAGAGCCCCAGGAAAAGCACCAATAGCTCTTCTGAAGCCAGAGGCAGCATACTCCAGGGAATCATCACACACTTGGTCACAGCCACACTCCTGGATCTAGTCTCAGTCCTGGCTGCACACTGAGCCATCTGCAAGAAAACTGCCTGGCCAGTCTGGATGGAGAGAAGAAGGGGTATAAATGTGCCTAAAAGACTTCCCTCCATGGAAAAAGCCACCATCAAACACTTGGTTCTTTTTCAAGAATGGATTTTAATCTATTCACATTCTGCTGCATTAAATTAACATGACAGATCAGCTCACAGCAGTGGCTCGTTGAGGGGGAAGATGTCTGGAACAGCTCACTGGGAGCAGAGTTCTTTGAAAGACCTGCAAAAGGCCATCTTTAGCTGGGTTTTAGTGGGGTCCTCTTTGTCCATGCCATTTTAGCCTAAAGACATCATGTATTGTTAAATCCTCCTCCTCCATGCTCCATCCTGGAAGTCTCACAGTGACACAAGAGATGTAAATCAACTCCTACCTTCCCTGCAATGCATCATATGCTTATCCCTCTTCTTGCTAAGCCCTGAGTAGTCTGGAAATTGCTGTGTGTGAAGGAAAGGAGGCTTCTGAGATGTAACCAAGCTGGGCAAGGCTTTGCACAAAGATGATTCCCAGTGGTGCAGCAGCAATGGAAAATTATCTGCAAGGCAGTAGATTTGCCACCTGATGGAAGCTGTAATTAAGCACAGCACTGCATGCTGGGAAAGACTTCTGAAAATACCTTCCAGCAAAGGTTTTTCCACCAATGAGGCAGGAACTCTCTCCTGTACTTCCCTTTAGATTGAGGCTGGCTCTGATCTGACTGGTGAGCGCAGAGGGACTGAGGGAGCAGAGGCTCCATCATTGGTGCCTTCACACCTTCCTTGCATGGGATTCATCCTCCTGGTGTCTTTTTCTCCTCTGTCTTAACAGTTGCAGCAAGTGAGGAGCTCTGCTTTCATCCCTTTGGAAAAGAGGAGGGTGGGAAAGCAATTCTGTGATTACAGCCCTTTCCACTTCTCCAGACCTCTGGAAATGGATCTTTATTAACACTATTGTCAGTTATAGTGGATTCCTTTTCACTCCCATCACTAAAACAATTCTGATGCCTGATCAGTCGCATTATTGCCACTTATATTTAGTGCTAATTGATTCCCTGTGTTTATTTTCTCAGACACAGAAAAAGCATCACTCATTGCCAAGCAGAAGTTGCCTCCACCCTCAGCCCTGCTCTTTCTCCACCAGGATGTGGTCTCTCCTCTCTCTTCCTGATCACTCAGGGCCAGATGAAGACATCCAACTCAAGAGTAATGAAACCCTGTCCTCTGCACACCCCTGAGGGGCTGGTAAGAAGAGACATAGGGAGGTGACATTTTTTCTGTACTGGCACCAGGGTCCTCCAAGGGCTGTCAGTACCAGCTCAAAGACCACAGGAGGAGCAGAAATCCACCCTGGTTCGTGGGCAAGCATTAATTAGCCCACAGCAGATGCACTGACACTTTCTGTTCCTTGCTTCAAAAGTCATTTCCAAATGCAGGAGGAAACTGAAGACAGGTCAGAGAGGTTGCCCCAGGCAGCCAACCTTGCAAATAGTGATTTGTTTTAGCAGGGAAAAGGAGGAAGAATGGATTTTACTCTTGGATGTCTGTGTTTAAGAAGAGGATTTGATTTTCTTATATCTCTCCCTTATGTGTCTGGATTTTAAAAACACATATAAAATAATAGGTATCTAGAATAACAACCAAAAAAGTGCCTTTTAACTTGTTTTCTATAAAAACATGATTAGGTTTCAGTGTCCTCTTTCAGCTGAAAAAGTCAAAAAGCCAGTGCCATGCTACAGCCTCTGAGGGAAAAAGGCTGGAATCATATCCAAGTGTTTAATATTTATCAGATGATGGTTTCTTTTCTCGTTTGTTTCAAAGAATAGGACATAAATAAAAGGAAGGGCACATTTCTTTTAAAATTTAAAGGACAAGATTATGAATTTTACATTTCTGTAGTAACATATGCATTGGTAATGTGCACACAAGGAGCTTCAAAACAATTATAGCATTCCAATATTAGAGATCAAAAATAAAACAAAGGAGGGGATTCAAGCATATAATTTGTTCATTGTTCATTTATCAGCTTCAGCATGAATATTTTCATATCTGAAACCTAGACTTGGGGCTGAGTTACACTGTGCAGCCATGGAACCTTCCTTTGAAAAGGGCTGTTTACATTAAAAAACAAACAATAACAATAGCAGCATTCTTCTAACTGATCACAGCTGAAGCAAAGCAGTTTTATTTCCAGTGAAATAAATTTGTTAAGAGAATTAGTGGCTGGCTGAGGCATCAAGCTGTGTGTGATAATGAGATGGGTTATAAATAGTGTCATTAATTCACATGTCCTTCTAACACATGCCACTCCAGTTAATGTTCAAATCCCAAATCCCTCAATGCAAAATGCACTGACCTCCTCATTAAAGTATCTGATGGAGAAGCCTGGTTTGCATGTAGCTGCTGCCTGGTACTCTGCATCAGGAATAATTACAGGGCAATGTTTTGCTTCTCAGCTAAAAGGCAGAAGTATTTCTATCACCAGAAAATAAGGCTTTCCTCACGTCTCATGCTGCCTTTTCCAAGTGCTGGGATGGTTTATGGGGCAGCACATCTCCCTGGGCTCTGCAAGAGCAGGCTGCCCTTACACCAGTGCTGGGATGCTCCTGCATCCTCTGAAACCTCTGCTTGTCTTGCAGCATGGCTTGAAGTCTTGCTGTCAGGGCCCTAAAGTTAAATACACTTTCTTCAATGCTCTGCTTACCCCACTAGCAGCAACTTTTTTGTCCAGGGAAGAGCTTATGCTGATGGCAGCTGGCACTTGTCTCTGAGGTCCTGCAGAACAGGGGCACTGCAGACAGCTCCTGACACTGGCTCCTTCCCTTGCAGGAGCCCCTGAGGTTTCTCTCCTGTTGGGAGAGAAACACTATGGGGAGCAGAGATGCATTGCTTGCTGTTCCTGGGGCTCTACAGAAAGAGCCCAACATTATAAATCTTGGTAAGTGAACAGCTTTATACCAGCAGGAAAGGCAAAACAGACCAAATTGTTTTTTCCTTTTCAACCATTTTTCCCAATAGGCCCCTGAAGAATGAACATATTTCTGGAAAGTGCCTGGAGAGAGCAGCTGTCTTCAACACATGTGGGGCTTCTAGTGAATCCCTTCTGCCTCACCTCTGGGACACTCTGGGATGTCAATGCCACAGCCACAGCTGGGGCAGCAGCCAAGGGAAACTGCTGTGGCAGCCCACAAACTGCACTTCTGTTCTCTGCCAGCATCACATGCAGCCTGAGTAATATTTCTCCTGTTTCCATTTTAAGAGATTGAATGTGTTGGGTGTTTTCAGCAGGCAGGCAAACCACGTCTCTGCAGTACCATGGCTTTTGTTGGTGACAGTTTCCATGGTGTTGGTGTTCCCTCAGTCTCAGAGTTAGCACAGTTTCATTATCTCCAAAGATGGTGTGTAAATTGCCCATCTCATTAATAAATTAGACCCTGGTAATTATGGGCTTTTCTAAATAATCTAATAAGGATACTTCTGCCTTGATGAGGGGAGTTTAACTGTAAAAGCAAGATTTATAATGTGCTTACAGGAATTGGGATCAACAGGAATGCCTTGCCTGGAGACTGAAGGTTGTCTCTGCCCTGTGCAGCTAAAGCCTGATTTCTAGATGGGAAAAGGAGCTATTGATTTAAATGCAATAAAGTCACCAGGTCTCTGAACACATCAGCATTTGCTTGTGCAGAGACAGAAGGATCAAGCCTATGTTGGAAGAGCTCCCTGCCCAGGGTGTGTAGGGGATAATTCTGCTCTGAGTCTGTTTGCAAAGCCAAAATGCAATGATGGTATCATGATATTGACTTACAAATCGTGAAATATGTAGAAAGTAATACAACTAGTGATTTGTTTGGGTTTTATTTTTTTCCCTTTTAGGATTTAAGTCTTCAAAATGCACATACTTAGGCTTTACTCTGAGCCTTTTGGAGAAGCAAAGGAGATGCTGAGATCCTCCCTGTAATCATCTGCCTCGGGAATCTGCAGCTCCATAAATGAGGTATCCAGGTATCAGCAGAGCTTTTGAAATCACAGAGGTTCAGAGCTGGCTCATTCCTCTGCAGCAGGCAATGTGTTCCCTGTGGTGACTGGGACATGCTACTGGTGGTGTGCAGGAATATTCTGTGTAATTCCCAGTGCACATATTCAAAAAAAAAAACCCAAAAACAAATAAATCCATGTCAGAAATGTGTATAACAGGGATCCAAGTGACCTCTAGGAGTAGGAAGGACTCAGCAAATGGAGTGAAGAAGGAACTGGGCTATTATATATAAAGCATATATACATTTTTCTGGAAGAAATTAAAAGTGGCTGGTTTATATTGGTAGATGCCACACACCAACTGGCTTAGAAATGTAATATTAATGCCTAAAAAAGGTGATTATCACCTTAATATTTGCTTAATATAGTTTTAAAGGGAATTACCAACATCATATATTACATTCTTCTCCTACAATAAATGGTCTCTCCCTGATGCATTTTATTATTTACTGTAAATTCATTCAAGCAGTATATTTTGCTTTCAATAAGGTACCCTCAGTTACTTTTTCTGTCCAGGATAAATTGAGATAAATTTTGCCTGAGCCTGGATTTTGCTCATGGCATCCATCTTTACCCATGAAATGTTGCAGTTGGAGTTGAACAGGAGTTGAGAAATGATAATATTGTACTGCAGAAAGTCACAGCTCACCAGTCTGCAGCCAAGCTGCATGCAGAGGCCACATTGAAGCAGCCAGGAGTTTAATAAGAATTGAAAGACACAAAGGAATGTGATGTATTCTCTAATGTTTATTCTGATAAAGCAATAAGAACATTACAAGAAAATGACACTAGTTATTTACCATGACATGGTGAGATTACACAGTAGCATATCATCACCCCAGGCACCATGGCTTGCCACTAGTTTCCATTTTTGCCCTTGGAGGCTTAAGAATTTATTGCTAGAGTTATTAAAAATGTTGCTAGAGTTGTAGAAATGTTGCTAGAGTTATAGAATACTTTTTGGAGGGGGTGGAAGAGAAGACTTCAAATAAAAGATATCTCCATCCCTTTGTTGACAATTCCACGTTCCCAAGGCTTAGCAAATCTCATAGCTATGACCACTGTGTTGTCAAATTGGATAAAAGCCTTCAGGCTGGCACGGATTGCCTTCCTGCAGAAGTTGTGGAGTCCCTGTGAAAGCTGCTTGATTGAAAGCCCTGGTTTCACAGCTCTCACAGTGGGGGTAAATGTGACCTTGAGGTCAGCTGTGCTTTGCAGTGGCTCTGGGAAGACCTGCCCGTGGTAATGAAGTCTCCATACTTCCATGCCTTTTAAGAAATCCTACTAGCTGCACCCAGATACAACATTTTTATGGATCCATCTGGACTCTGGTTTGCACTTCCAGCTCTGGAAACCCTGGGATCAGCCCAGGGCACAGTCCAGTGTCTGTGTTGGGGTGGATGTTGGCAGATACCCCATCGTGCAATGTCTTTTGTGGCAAGTCAGAGTAGTAACGGAAACACAGAATACATATGGGTGGAAAAATAATAATAATTTTTTGAGTCCCCCAGGTTATGGGGCTGCCTGTGGCCATGGAATGGGTCATCAGCACTCAACATCCCAAATACTTTGCCTGCAGCAGTGGAAGCACAAACAGCAGAGCTCTTCTCTTCTGCTCCCCTCTGAAGAGTCATAATTCGCTCCTCACTAACATCAAGTGTTTTATTTAAAAGTGTTTAAATATGCAAAACTCATTTCAGATTTGTATTATTAGAATTTTTAAGTGGACAAGGATGCAATATTCTCATTACAAGGGAGAAATGTCACATTTTAGCTCAAAGAGTGTTGTCAATGCCAGGTTACAAAACAGCGGTAATGAAATATGCAGACTTTTAAAAAGGGTAGTGAAGGGAAGCCTGGCAGGGCTGCATGTTCTCAGAGAAGCAAACCTCTTTGTCAGCTCAAATGCACGTGGCAAGGGAAAGAAAACTGAGAGCTTTGGCTCGTCCTGTGGCAGAGAAGTTTAAAACATATCTTTGGGGATACCTCTGGGCATTGCTGGAAATCCCATTCAAACCTGACTCTTTGAAGCCAAGCAATGTGTTAAAATCTACTGAGTTTCCAATTCCCCCTTGTGAGGGCTTACAGTATGTTTTGCTCTGTAAATTTCCCTGATTTTCTTACAAAACTGATGAAAGGGCAGGTGTGTATGCTAGAGGGGACTGGAGCACTTGTGGAAGATGCCTGGGCTCTGCTGAGCTGTCTCCCTTGACTCACCCTTGTAAAGCCTCTGAAGTTCATCCTGCCTGTATATGCTGAGAAGTGAGGAGCAATTCCTCTGGAGATTTTAACATTCTGTAAGTAAAACAGAATGATTTTTACATCATAGGGCTGAGACTTGAAAGCCAGTTGGGATGGATTTTGTTTAACTTCCCTATTTAAATAGCTCATGCTGTTTGAATATTTATACTTGTCTTTATTATCCCACCCATGTTAGTGGCAAGTATGTCTATATTTTGTATCTTTGACATAAAATAAGAAGGGGGCAGGTAGGGATGCAAATAGGAATTAGTCCATGTCTGATATAGAGGGAGTTGATGTTATAGCCTGCTAGCCCAAGCAAGGCATAAAAATCTCAGATGCCACTGGGGCATTTTTCCATTCTTGCTGCCCTTCCCAGTGTTGATTTTTCCTGTGGTTGGTGTCTTTTGGGCTGTTAAGAGCACTGAGCTCACAACTGCACTGTTGTTACCTGCACACATTGAAAGAGCTGTGAAGGGCAAGGTCAACTCTGATACACACAAAGCCAATTAGGACTTACAGAGCACTAAACTCAAATTTCTTCAAGCCATTTCATTTTATTGATCAGACACATTTTTATTTCCAAATTGCTTGCTCTTGGGAGCCATCCAGGTTTCCTAGTGTGAAGGACTGTGTAAAATGTAACGATTCAGCACTCCCAGTGTGCCTGTCTGTGGATTTTGTTAACCTTTAAGCTACATTTAGGATGCAAGACAGGACTTGAAGAGCACCATCATATATCTGATTATCTTCTGAAAGAGTTCTCCAATTTGCATTTCCCTCATATCCTCCTTGAAAAGACATCTGTCATCTCTCTTGGTTAAATCCTAGGATTTTCCTGGAAGGGAGATTCCCAGCAAGAGAGTCCAGCAATTCAGCCTGTGCATGGAACAGTACTTAGCTAACTCTTCCGCCAAAAATTTTTGTCCAGGATGGTAAGTTTGTCCCTGTGGCTAATGAGTCTCAGAACTGACAGGTGTCACTTCAGGTGAGAAGCTGGAGCTCACCCTCACTTCAGAAAATGCTGCACAGTTAAATACTGTTACTGCTTCTTTACCACGGTTGGGAGTGCTGGCTCCAGGCACATTCTTGGAGTCTCTAGCACACAGCTTTACTGCCAATTTAATGCCTTTTTGCACAGGAAAAAATGTATTATTTTTGCCTCAAATAAATGAGAGACTTAAAGTCCCAAGAAAGGATATACAGTCATTCTAGATGAGGAGAGAGGCATATACAGTAAACACTTTAGTATGTTGTGCAATAAAAAGAGCCCTATATCTCATAAATACAGACACTTAACTTATCATGTGCTTGAATTAAAAGCATACACACAGTTCTTCAGTATCCACAAACTACTTGAAGGGCACAGAGCTGGGCGGGTCTGCAGCCACTGACACTGTCTTTTTATGTTTCTCCTTATTGGTGATATAAATTGGACTGAGGGTGACTCTGGGAAGAGCTATTGCCACTGTCCTGGACCAGGGCATACTGGGGGATGCAGGGCAGAGAAACCTGTGCTGGTTCTCTGCAGGTCTGGCTTATGTTTAAAACCAGGAGCAGCTATTCTCATTACCCTGAGCATCTCAGAAATCCCTCTTACTCTGCTGGTGACACACAGGCTGCCAGAATATAAGGAATAGCAACAAAGATCTGTGACTGTAGAGTGACAGTTGCAGCATCTTCGTGTGAGGGATCTCCAGAAACATCTGCAGAGCTGAGCTGGTGAGTTATCCTAAGCAAGGCAGCTGTGCCTTCGGGGCCAAGCAGTCCCAGAGTTCCATGGAGTGCAGCTGATGGAAATCCATCCTGCCACACTTCATTAGAGGATGGCCATGGATGGGCATGGGGAGAAGAAGTTAGGGTGGTTGTGAATGCCTCATTTCCTTGAGAAATCAGACAAAAATCTCCCCAGCACACACAGGCTGGGTGTGAGCAGCTCTGGGTGTGTGGGTAGAGAACGGCGCCTGCTGAGCCCAGCGGGAGTGGAACACTGGGAGCTGCTGAGATCCAGAGCCTTTCCTTTCCTCAGCAGCAGCCCAGCCTGTCCTGTGGATTTCCAGGGTTTTCCTTTTAATTCTTCAGTTGTCATCTCCTCCTTTGAGGTAGTTATGGCTGCTCAGCTCCCTTTTCCCAGCCCATGTGAGTTCATCCCAGGGGAGCACCAGGCCAGGAAGCTGCACAAAGCCACCCAGGTGCCCCCAGGGCTGCTGGCCCTGGGCTGCCAGAGGCCATCTGCAGGACCACAGGCCACCTCTCCTCTGGAGAATGTACCACCAGTGCCTTGGATCCGATGTGAGATGTTGTGTTTCTGTATATCACAGGAACTGGATATTTATTTGGCAAACTTCACGGGACCACACTTGCCAAGTATTATTCTCCTGGACTACAAGCCAAGGAGGAACTGAGCTGAACAGACTTCTGCCTTCACTCACCTGAGGCTCTCATTCCTCTTTCAAATCACCTTTTCAAATTTCATTCCTGAAACAATACCTCTAAATAAAGAAGTAGAGAATATATAATGACATATGGGAATATTTCTGTGGAGTCCATCGTAATCCCATGTTCCCAATTCACCTCTTTGCCTCAGATTCCCTTTGTTCCCCCTCCATCCTCCCACCAGCCTCCCTGTTTGTTCTTTTTCCTTTTGACTGCCCACTTTCACATTAATTTTAGCTTTCCTTCAGTCTTTTAATGCAGTATCTATTCCTTAAATTTACTATAGTTTGACATGCTGTTTTATGAGTCACTGCTGCAGATAGAGTTTGAGGCAGATTAAATCACACAAACTAGTTCTAACAGCTCCCTAAATCTAATTTGATTTTATGCTCTTTTTTGACAAACCTTTATGGATTCTTTCATCCACACCCTCCCCCTGAACAATAATGAAGTAAATACGTGTATTTTTTGCACATGGTGATGACTGTGTGCTGGGGATGGAGGGGACCCACAACTTCCTCCCTTTTCTTTGTGAACAGATGCTGAGATAACCCACCACAGAAAACCTGAATCACATCTTCTTCCTCAGAACTCTTCTCTAACCCTTTTCTCCTCCAATTAATTTATGACCCAAGGTGAAGAATTCAGAGGTAGCAAATTGAGTATGCATCCCCATTTTCATCTTTTTACTAGAGAAATGCTGCTTGGCAGCAACATTGATTTCCCAGCATTTTTGTGGCCAAAAATTACTTTTCCCCAGCTTTTTCTCCATGATCTTTATTGAACTTGTTTGCTTTAATACAGTGGGAATCATGCTGGTGCTTAGAAGAATCCATTCTCTCCAAGCAACAGCTAAATTTTCCATACAGCTCCACTTTGCTTTGGTGTTTAATCATCTTCAGAAATTGTTGCTAAACTTGTATGTGCTACTAAGGACATTAGTCTTTAAATAACGTTGTGCTGTGGTGGTGTGAGATGATTAGATTGGCAAGGATTTCTGTTGTGGTGTCATCATAATTTTCATTAGTACAGTGAATTATAACAGCTTGTTCTGTGCTCAAATTGATGATTACTACTCTGAAACCCTGGCACATTTCACTAACACCTGACATCTGGAAGAGAAAGGTGGGAGGCAAAGCAAGCTCTCAAAGTTGCTGTGTGATGCACACTGATGGTCTCTTCATTTGTTCCAGCAGCTGCTGCAGCCAAGGGTAATGGCCTTTGTTGGTCAGCAGAGTTAATGCAATTCTTGTGATGATAAACCAATAACTCTTGTGATTACTGATGGAAAATATCATCCAGCAGTGTGCTGTGCTGAATAGGCAGCAACAGCAAGGAGCAGCAGATCCTTATTTGAACTAAGGTAATGTATCAGAAGCAGGTGGATGAGTTGGAGAATTATTTTAAAAAGAAGATAAAGCATGCATAGAGTGTGCAAGTGTACATCAAATTGAAGGCCTGTATCAGAACAGAAATTGTTGTTATAGCTTTTTAAATAGAAGATTGTTATACCAGCAAAACTGTAAAAAAAAAAAAAAGCATTTCTAATTCATCTAACAAGGGATGCCCTTGCTAGATGGTGATCCCTGGCAGTCTGGTGCTGCGCAGGTCATATTGCTTCTGCAGCAGCTGCACAGATCACACATCTGCCTTGTGCCCAGCTGAAAAGGGAGACATAGATGGACCTGCTTTTCTCTGGTGGGTACAGCTCAGGTGGGTGTGATTTGGGAACAGCCACCACTTCACCCCTGTTCTCCCTTTAGTGGAGGCCAGTGACATTGTCAGATCAGTTTTCTTTGCATCACCAGAGAAATTCTTTTCCTGCAGCATTGGGCCTCTCATCAGCAACTCAAAAGGCAGACCACTGGCATGAGTTTTGGTGCAGACATATATATTCCAGCACTCAGGACTGGTGATGATTCTTTGCACAGCATCTTGTTCCCTGCAAAGTCAGCAAGTGCCACGTGCTGCCAGTTCTGTGAGCGTCCGACAGGAAAATCTGATTTGTATTTCCACCATTAAGATTCTATTTCCAGCCCAGAAAATTATGCTGGGTGACAAGAGGAAGCCCAGCTCCGTAAAACAGTGTAGACAAGACTGTCACACTGCTGCCTTTGCAGAATAATCTGCTCTGACACTGAGAAAATCCTGCACTGCACACCCGAGCCCTGACCCGGCCGGGGACATGCACGAGTGTGAAGCACCAGCGTTGCCACCACGAGAGCCCAGGGTGCCACAGGTGCCACCAGGGTGGGGACTTGCCCAGCTCCAGGGGTCCCCAGGCACAGCCAAAGTGCCTTCACTGACTCTTGTGGGTGAGCACAGCACCCTGAGGCAGAGCCCCAGGACAGCAGAGGTGGGGCAGTGCCTGAGCCAGGCTCTGGGACAGACACTGCAGGGCTGCACAGGGGCCTGGCTCTGCTTTTGCTCTTAGCAAAAACCACAGGAACAGCAGCAGCTCTACATCCAACTTTTCTTACAGCAGAGTGAGGACTTGTGGCTGCCATTATCACGGATATTTTCTGTA